CCCGCCTGTCCCCTCTGCCCCGTCAGCATTTGCTGAGTGAGGTTGGCTTTGGCTTAGATAAAGCGAGGGCATGCGTGACGGCACGGCTCACTGGGCAGACCTGCGTGTTTCCTGGCCCTTTGGACTCTGATGAGCAGGGCTCAGATGTCACTGCTGACGGGCCTGGAGCCGGACCGTGCAGTGCAGACCCGGCGGGGGCAGACCCGGCGGGGGCTGCCGCGGGTCCGATGAGTGTGAGAGGGCCGGCAGCTCTGTGCACCGACGTCTCACCATGACGTCTGCCAATGGCCGCCTTGGCGGAGCAGGACTGCACACTCACGCACACACACATGCACACTCACATGCATACACGTACACACACTCACAGACATATACATGCTCATATACACACACACTCGTATACATAGCCACACCCCACACACGCACACACATGTATGCACATTTGTACGCACAGACTTATGCATGCTTATATACACATGCATTCATAAACATCCGCACTCAACACACATACATGCACACCCCTAATGCACACTCAGATACATGCACACATTCCTCATGCACACACATGCCTACACGTGTGTGCATGCGGACACACATGTTTTAACAAGTTGCACACGTGCTCCTCTGCTGTGACGTGGGGTACTTGGTAGGAGGCCCCAGCACAGGCGTGAAGAGGGAGACGCAGGTGCAGCTGGGAGGGCCAGGCCCCCTGCCGTGGGCTTCTCAGTCCAGGACGGACGCCGCCCCGAGGCTGCCCTGGGCACTCAGGCCTCAGAGCTCTCGCTGCTGAGTGTCCGTGGTTTCCATGGGCCCCTGGGGGCTCCCCAGGAACGGCGAGGCCTGGCTGCTTTTCTCTCTTAAGCTGCGGTCGTGAAAGGCGGCTGCGTTTTACCTCCTCACATGCTGAGCAGTTCCGCAGCTGGCAGGGAGGCGGCATTGGCTCTGCCCGCGTCCGGCTGAGGCCGTGAGGGGTCAGCCACAGCAGGCGGGCCGGCCGCTCTGTGGGGAACTGGGAGAAGAAAGACCCTCGCTTTGCTGTGCTTCCTGGAAAAGACCTTCCCTGCGGCCCTGGACTTAGACCCTCATGGAAAGGACTCTTCTCTCTGGGACTCTGCACGGGGACCAGGCTGCCTGTGTGATGTCCTGCGTGCCTTTGCCGGGTCCCGGCTGCCCGCTGTGGCGGGGCGTGCGCCCTCCTCGGCGAGGAGCGGACGTTGGGGCTTGGTTCTCTGATTTGCAGGATCGGGGACCGAGCCCTACGCACACGCTGGGTCTTACATGTGAATGAGTTTCACAGGGGAAGGGGGTGCGTGTGGTAGTAACGGAGGCGCAGACAAGCACGCGGCCAGCTCTTGTTGGAGCCTCTGGCCCACCCGTCCCGTCACCTCCCTTCCTCCCACGTTGAAACGGGACCTGGAATGTGGGTGTGTTTGCTGGTCTGCGTGCAGGCGGACCCTGGAGCAGGGCCTGGCCTGAGTGCCACTCGCGCGTGAATGACGGGTGTGACCCAGGTGGGCGTGGGGTTTGCGGGTGCCTGGCCCGGGGCTCTGTGCTGGGCTCCCTGACCGTGCGGGGACAGAGAGCCAGCAGGAGCCCCGCTTTCTGAGCGGCCGG